AAAAGCAGGGAGACGACAGAATCTGATCAAATACCGGTGCAATCTCATGGCATGGAACCACTATGCTTATAATGGCCGAACCATCAATGTAAAACAAGAGCTGGTAATAGCTCTCTCCACCTCTCGAATTCTTCTTCCTTTTCCTTTCTCTTTCTTGTCTTTCTTTTCTCTTTGGCCTCGGCGGCTAAGACCATGACCACTGACAGGGTGCTAGTACCGGTTTTTGGGATGAAGGCAACCTACTCAGCAGTATCAAGTTCATCATGGGCAGAAGTTAAAGGGTCTAGAAGAGCTAGATTGATAAGTAACAATGAGGGAGACTAGGTAAAAGTGATGGCTATTCAGAATTTCATACCTTTTCTCTCTTCTCCATTTGGGCCATTCTCACGCTCATCGTCACGGCGCTCACGTTCATCGTCACGGCGTTCCCTATCATCTTTGACATCACGCTCTCTCTCATCAGGGCTACGAGAACGGTCACGGGAACGTTCGCGGTCACGGTCACGGCGATCATAGTCACGGTCACGTCGGTCATAATCCCGGTCGCGCCGGTCATAATCACGATCATGTCGGTCGTAATCCCGTTCGTACCTGTCGTCCCTACGAGGAGAATAATCGCCACGGGCACGGCGAGGCGACGGTGAACGACCACGGCGTGGCGGTGTACGATCTCGCCGGCGGTCCCGGCCAGAATCAAACCTCCAAGAAGCAGATGGTGGAGTGCGAGCCCACTTTGCACGAGTTAGATGTTGGTTTCTGACTAGATGACGCGGGACTCACTTCAATTTTCAATAAATCATCACGTCCAATTCGTTTGTTATGCATTTCATGGTATGCATCGTCGGCATCACGACGACTCTCATACTCCACGAAGGCAAACCTTGATATCGTTAGAAAGAATGTCAAGAAATGGAGCGGGTATGTCACGACACACAGTCTGCTGGAAGGAGTACGCGGTGCTGGGATGTCACACCGGACAAGGCGCCCATAACTAAAGCTAAGTTAGAACAAAGACTCGCGGGGTTTAAACAGACAACCAAGATAATATTGCTTAATGACCAAAGACAAAAGTGTATAAACGGGTGATGATAGCTAGCAAAAGTGCCGGGGCCATAATGAGTCTTCGAAGGGAGTGTATTTCAAGGAGACGACGAGTGATGCAACAAGCAAATATCAGGACAGTAAGGGAGGTCCTGCTCCAACGTCGGCATTGCGAGGATCAACCGAGGTGTAGATTGCGAGATGGAAACGAGTCGTCTGGTCATGGTAGCGTGTAGCAATCGACGAGCGGCACATACCGTTCGAATTCGTAGGCAAGGTCGCGAGCTCGAGTTCCGTGCCCGAAACCGGTGACATAGAGCGTGGTGCCAGGACGAGACATTGTCTGAGAGGTCGGATGTCTCTTTGTATACACCAGCAATATTATCTTTAAGTTAGAAGATAATGTATTGACACAAGGACAAACTGGTCTAGCTAACAAGGTTGGGTGGAAATAAGAACAAGAATGGTAAAGGAACAAGAGCAAGTTTCGAACAAGACTACAGGAAAGTGCACATGCCACAAGCGAACTAACCCAGCCACAGTTAGTTATGAAAAAAGCCCCTTTAGTTATTAGTCATTTAAAATATGTACATAATAATAACCATAACCATAACCATGTCCAGAGTACCTAGGTACGCAGTACTTCTTGCCAACTGTGATAGTAGGTATATGTACTCCATAGCTGCATGCCACTACCTGGCCCCCCACATACATAGTACTATACCTATCTACATACAATAACAGTACTGTATTCCAGAGCTCCCCATGTAGAATTTTGTTGTGAAGTACAGTATTCCGTACAATTCTCTGTACATGCTACTTACTACTCCGTAGGTAGTGCATGGTCTTTGCCATGTTTTGTACCATTAATGCCTATTTTACATCAGTGATGCCCCCCAGTGTTATAAAGTTTCATGCGATGATACATTGGGTGATGAGTATCTGGGATATCGAAACTCCATGGGATTCAATATTTCCCCCAATATATATAGCCCGCATACCTCTTTTATACTATGTGTTGTGCATGGCGGGTTTTGCTTTTCTTGTAAAATTACCAAAGCATGGGGCTCGGCCCACCCATCCCTGACGCCAAACTACTAATGGCCGGACTAGTTGCGGTCTTAGACGATTTAATGTTCGACAAGCCGCCGCAATGATGCCTCGTTTGGGTCAGCGCGTCTTCGATTTATTTCCCTCTTGATGTTGAAAAGAACCACTCATTAGCCTTGACGAGCGTCTTATAAATTTCCTTATCTATGGTACCCAACTTCTTTTCCAGATGATAATCTAGTTATTACCCAACGATCAACTGTATTATTTGTTACTGCTTCCGCTTCGTGCTGTTTGCAAGCTTCATTCCGATAGTCGGGGCTTCTGGCCATGTCACTCTGATTTTCCAGTTGGCCTATGTTTATTTATGGCCTGTGCGACGTCAGCCAGACGAATTTCAAAGGGTTTTCCTGCTGTGGCTATATCTCAATATAGGTTCAAGTGTCTGCTGATTTCAGTGAGCTCCGACGCCGGCATACGTAACGGCTAGTAAAGAGGAGTCTCGAAAAGCAAGTGAGCCATCGATATATCTGAATATCAAACTCCAAACCACCTCATTAGGAGCGATTCGGGGTACCACTGCTGCTTCTGTAAATCGCCCACTTCAACATGAGTCTGGATCGTCAGGAATCGGTTCGTCACGATGAATCGAAAACTTCAAGGGACAATACTTTGGCCAAGTTAACTCAATTGCCGCCGAATTCCGCTTCGATCAAGGTAGGATGAGGATATTCCAGTTATTAAGAGAAGAATCGAGTTCCATGGCTCAACGAGTTTTTAGGAAGCATCTTCGGGAAACAGCAGCAAACTCGTTGGTGATATTAAGGGCAGAATTGCGGAACCTGTCGTGGCAGCTTTCATTGCTGGGGGCGTGGCAGGTGCGGTATCCAGAACCATCGTGTCGCCACTTGAACGACTAAAAATCCTGCTTCAAATACAGACCGTTGGCAGGGAAGAGTACAAGTTATCTATATGGAAGGCTCTCGTAAAGATCGGCAAAGAGGAAGGGTGGAGAGGGTTTATGCGGGGCAATGGTACCAATTGCATTCGCATAATCCCTTACTCTGCGGTTCAATTTGGAAGTTACAATTTTTACAAAAGAGTAAGTCATCTAGCACCCTTTGTATTCTATAATCTGTTCCCATCTTCGTCATCACTTTAAGAAGTTGTATGCTTATCTTGCAGTTTAGTTTGCAGAACCAGCTCCGGATGCTGAATTGTCACCAGTACGCCGGCTCATTTGCGGAGGCGCCGCTGGAATTACCTCAGTCACTATAACTTACCCTCTTGACATTGTTCGGACACGTCTTTCTATTCAATCTGCGTCGTTCGCAGCCCTCGGTCAGCGCGATGGCAGCGGGAAGCTACCGGGCATGTTCAGCACTATGGTCTTAATATACAAGACCGAGGGTGGTATCTTGGCACTCTATCGCGGAATCATTCCAACCGTGGCCGGTGTCGCCCCATATGTAAGTTCTGTGATCCTCTTGGCACTTTACGATATACTGAGAATTCCAAGGTTGGTTTAAATTTCATGACATACGAATCGGTTCGAAAGTATCTGACTCCCGACGGTGACAAGACTCCTAGTTCACTGCGTAAACTACTAGCGGGTGCTATTTCAGGAGCAGTGGCTCAAACATGTACTTATCCATTGTAAGATTGCTTGCAGACTTCCGACATTCTTGTCACTCCCTCCCTCTCCCCCTATTGGCACTAACCGGTCGTTAGTGATGTTCTACGGCGGCGTTTCCAGATCAATACAATGTCTGGAATGGGCTATCAGTATGCATCCGTCTGGGACGCCGTGAAAGTCATTGTTGCAGAAGAGGGAACGCGTGGTCTGTTTAAAGGAATCGTCCCCAATCTTTTGAAAGTGGCACCGAGCATGGCGAGTAGTTGGCTCAGCTTTGAGCTAACGAGAGATTTTCTTGTCCAGCTGAATGACAAATGAAATCGTCCCGACTCGGAAGGGATATATCGCCGATCCTAAGTTTCACCTCTCTACGATGATGTCGTAGCTTGGAGGATTGCCACATGAACATTGCTTTATACCAGATGTTCTCGATGTGGAAACCAGTTGGTGTACCTGGCTATTTTAAGTAAACTATGCAGGGTACTAGGTTGCTTAGTTTTAGAGTGATCCGAAACATGCTATATGACTATGAGTGTATCTAGCGTTACATTACACGAGTGAGAAAGATTAGGAAGAAATTAAGCAACCCACCAAAGATAGAGTATACCAGCGAAATGAGAAAGTGTGCTTCTATTGAAGGCAGGGTTCGTTCTATCTATTAATGGAGCGGAGTTCTCTTTCTTCAATTATTATAGGTCTTCTGTTTTGACCAATTACAAACCTTAATCCTGCTGCTATTTTTACTGGTGCCTGCTACTACTAGTAGTAAAACTAGTACTAGTAAAATGTATTCATCCAATGACATACACCTCGGCATGCAAGTGAACAGTGGAGCAATGCACTATAGATTGGAAGTTCTAAATGCCTTAGTTTTCAGGTGCCCGCAATTTGCCCCCAATACTTCCCGATTTGCTCTAGGTTAGGGCTCAACCCGCACACACCGTCCATCTGAAAATCGTAGATCAAAAACCTCAAGAGTTTCATTTTTGCATACGGGTGCGAGAGCTAGCCAACTCCCAGGTGTCCCATCAGTCTTAGCAGCCATGGGTACGTTTACAATCATATATCACCACACACCATCTCGGCAGAATTATGTTATCGGACACGCTTCGAAAGCATTGTTCAGGTTATTCTACAATGTATGAAGCTAACATTCGACCGCAGGTATCGACTTGGATCGCCACCATGTGCGTAGCAGCCATCGCAAGGCGCCGAAAAGCGAGAATGTCTATCTGCAAGTTTTGGTGAAGCTTTATCGCTTCCTCGCCCGTATGAAAGAGACCATTCCGATGGCATAAACCGACGGAAAACTGATTAGTGGTCTTTAATAGGTCGCACGGACTCCAACTTCAACAAGGTCGTGCTGCGTCGTCTTTTCATGTCGAGGATTAACCGCCCACCTGTTTCTCTGTCGCGTATCGCTTCCAACGTGACTGACGCGCACAAGGGCAAGACCATCGTCGTTATTGGCTCTGTCACTGACGACAACCGCCTGCTTAACGTCCCAAAGCTGTCTGTGGCTGCCCTGCGCTTTACTGCTACTGCCAGAGCCAGGATTGAGAAGGCCGGTGGAGAGACCTTGACCCTGGATCAACTTGCTCTCCGGGCTCCTACTGGAGCAAACACTCTGCTTCTCCGTGGACCCAAGAACGCTCGTGAGGCCGTCAAGCACTTCGGCTTTGGTCCCCACAGCCACAAGGCAAGTCTTTTCATATGAGCCTACTTTCTAGGAGGCCGCAATCAGGAGAGTTTAGACTAATACTCAATAGAAACCCTATGTGCGAAGCAAGGGACGCAAGTTTGAGAGGGCCCGTGGAAGGAGAAGGTCGCGTGGCTTCAAGGTTTAAAGGAGCTTATTACGAAAAATATCTTGTATCAGGGTCGGAACTGTCGTAACCATGGAAATACTACATGCGCAGAGCTTTGTGATCATGTGCAACCTTTTACTTAGAAATACGGCTAGCTTCCAAAGCTCTTTAGCTGATACAGCAGCGACTCTTACGGATATGAATGAAATTTCAGGTAGAGGAGTTGGAGCTGAATGAAAATTGAAGTTTATACCAACGATAATTTCAGACTCTGGGCGAGTTGAACTAGTTATGCTAGTTAACTAAAGTGGTAGGCTTTGATGTTTCCATCTTTTACCTCCTTCAGAATAATCACATGCCCGATGACCATCACCCCGGATCAGATACTTGTAGATGGTTAAGCCATCTAACCCTACAGGTCCTCTGGTATGAATTTTATTTGTGCTGATGCCAACCTCCGTGCCAAATCCATACCTCATCCCATCTGCGAATCTTGTTGATGCATTCCAGAATACACCAGCGCTGTCAACACCTTTCATGAAAATGTCCGCAATGTCCTTTGATCTTGTCAAAATGATATCAGTATGCTTAGAGGAGTGTGAGTTGATGTGAGCGACCGCGGCTTCAACCGACGAACTCCCGGATGGCGCTGAGGCTATCGTTTTCACTGCGAGGATGAGATCCAAAAACTCGGTGCGATAATCCGATTCGATAGCATCCTGGAGCAGATGACTCGGTGCAGCCGGCAAGGTCTTCATTAATGCGGCCCTAGCTGGTGCGTCACAACGAAGAGACACTCCCTTAGAGAACAAGGCATCTGCAATAGTAGGAAACATAGTCTCAAGAGCATCTTGGTGTACAAGTAATGTCTCTAGGGAATTGCATGCAGCTGGATAGTCGGTCTTTGAGTCCACAATGACCTTAACCGCGACCTCCGGATCTGCATCAAAATGAAGGTATGCGGAACAAAGACCATCAGCATGTCCGAGAACAGGGATCTTTGTGTTGTCCTTTACGAATCGAACGAGGTCATTCGACCCGCGAGGTATGACAAGATCGATGAATGAGTCTTGGGCTAGTAAGGAAGAAATCACATCCCTCGTTTTCACAAGCTGCACTGACGATTTGGGAACCTGAGTACTCGATATGGCGTCCGAAATAACCTGCGAGATAGCAACAAAAGACTCCGTAGATTCCTTGCCGCCTTTCTGACTTTAGTGGGGAACAACAAGCGACGAGCTTTCTATGAACACGTACCTTTGAGAATTGCAGCATTTCCCGACTTAATAGATAAAGCGGCTATATTCGCAATAACTTCGGGGCGCGCCTCAAAGATTATCAACAGGACACCTATAGGACAGCTCACTCTTTCAAGCACTAGATCGTCATCAAGAAGTGTCCTCAGAGTCACATGTCCAACTTCAATATAGTCAGTAATAGTTACGTAATCATTCGATATACCTACTCGGGTCTTGCAAATCCCGGACATCAAGTATGCCCTTCAGCATATCATCGTATTTTCCCGGTCGTGACAAGTCAAGTCTCTTAAGAACACTTTGGCTTAGATTACCACTAGCAGCGGCCTGACTCGCCATCTCAACATCCTTCGCATTTGCTTCCAATATAGAATCCTTATGCATTAACAACGCATCATGTAGTGCTGTCAAAGCCCCATTGCGGTCGGCATCAGATAAAGTTGCCAAGCCTCGAGATGCTAGAGAAGCAGTCCTAGCGATATCAATAGCAGAAGACTCGGTAAGGGACATTTGTGCGGACTTCGACAGAGAGGTGTGTGTGTGTGCGTCTGCGCCCGTGGCAGGGTCCAAAAGTGATATAAAAAAAAGTATCAATGTGTGATAGGATCAAATAGATAATGATTTGAAGGACTGCAGTAATTAAAATTTTTTTTCTCAACAGTTTTGGAGGACTTGCGGGCGCTAGACTGACTCACCCAGTTGTGGTGGGGGGATTACCCCGTAAACATTCAAGAAGAGGGGTGTTGTATCTAACACATTAGGCAGGCGGTGTGCAGCATCTATTGATATGTGAAGCCAGTACTCCGTGCATAGCGTAATATTGTAGGTGCGATACGTACTTCCTTTCACACAAAGCATCGAATCACCTATTCTCATCAGGCTATCATATCTCGACTCTTCTAAGTGTTAGGTTTATATCACATTCAGGCTGGCCTTCGAAATCCTGTTTGTTCGTGAGAAATGGCCGAGTTTCTTTCGCAACTCACCTCAGTGTCATCAGGTAGCTCCGATGAAGACTATGACAGGCGGATCCGTGACCTCATCACATACCTTCAACAGCCGAGTAGAGCTTCTGAGCTTTCAGTGGCCAGTGAATATTTGCTAGATGTAAGCCGAGGCCTTTTAAACAATTTTTAGGGAGGGGAGACATGAGAATCAATGCAGTCCTGCTCCCTTCAAGTGCGGGGATTTCGCTAGCTTACAATGGCCATTGCGCGTTTATAGAACCTCGATCCTTATCTACACACTCTGTCTTATTTATCAGTCTTGCTTCTTAAGATCCAGTCCCTCCAGGGCAGTAACAGGAGCCGGCTACCCGAGCAAATTTATCCCGGGCGAGAACTATGGCTCAAGGCTATTCGGTTTTTGAGAAGCTTTGATCCTTTTCAAATACGGTATGCTGGTCACGAATGGCGCCGACTAGTACAGCTTGTGGTCCATGCTGCGCAGGCTGTCTCCAAGGTAATAATAAACATTAATTGTTTTGGTCATTACGCTGACCTGCATCCCGGAAAAGCCACTCCTGGCAGTTCTAGCTGTCAGGGATGCCATACTTCGACTTGACCCCTTGTCTGAGGTCCTCACGTCAGTTCACACTACGTTTATTAAACTCACTTTGATGTCTAGGTCGTATAACCTTGCAGTGCCAGTTTTGGAGAGACAGGTTTGTCATTTTCCTACTGTTACTGGACAGGCTTATCAGAATTATCATCAGCCTTTGCTCTGCGGGGAACACGATTCTAGTACAGCGTTTATAACCAATGCTTCTGGATTTTCCAAGCAGTTGACATACAGAGACCATCTGCAATTTTTTCTCTATGGTGCAATGATATACATGGCGCTAAAAAGGTGGGATAGGGCACTTCACTATTTGAGCATAGTGATATCCTGCCCTGTCACAAACGCCGTCAGCAAGATCATGGTAGAAGGGTACAAAAAGTGGCTCTTGGTCAACCTGTTGCGAAACGGAAAGGTAATCTCCCAGGCGAAGATACCACCTAAAGGTGTGCAGCCTCCAGCTAACTGGTGTCGTTCTTTGACAGTTGACCGCACATCCTGATGTTGTCTCCTCACATGTTATCAGAGCATATCAGTCCTTGGTGAAGCCATATACCTCACTGGCCGATGCATTCGTGAAGGGTGATTATCAAAGGTTAAACGCTGAAGCTGAAGCTGCACAGTCCATTTGGCGCCTAGTAAGTTGTAAACCGGAATTCTTGACTCCTGTGGTGTTGCCTTGTTGATGTGCTTATTGATATCTAGGACAATAACACCGGCCTTGTCCACCAAGTAATCAAGGCATTCAATAAATGCATGACCCTGAAATTAGGGAGAACGTTTTCTGCCCTTACGATGGCAGATGTAACACAGCAGGCATCCGATTGCTCATCCCCGCTCCGTGAAGTTGAGTCATTTGTGGCATCACTGGTAATGTCAGGGGCTTTCAATGCTGTCTTGCTACAATCACATAACTCTAACAACACTACAATGCTTCGATTTTCCAATCCAATAAAGTCCCTCTATTCGCGGGAACTATGTGCACGGGGGAAGATAGTGAAAGAGGGCCGTCAATTGGCTTGTATTGTGCAAAATATTTATCAATCCAACCATGGGCTGGAGCTGAGTGATGAGAATTTTCTGTTTTCGCAGAAGAGCCTCAGGTGGTCTGACAATTCTGGGAAGAGCCCACTTGACGAGGCAGCCGGTGGGGTTGACATTGAAGAAGATATTATGGGTGATATCCATTGAAATACTAAAACAACGAATGATGTGCTTCACACTTTTTACTTGGCCTATTTTAAGGGTACCTACGGAATTGCCCCTCCAGTATCACCCTCGTGCAAGGCGAGTTGGTTCGGCTACGAAGCAGAAACTATAAAAAAGGGTTTAAAGCCTGATTGGACGGTGGCTATACTGGATATATCACTGTAACGGCGGGTTATATAAGTCAGTCCCAGGGCTTCGGGGTCGTTGACCCCGAATTATTCTGACTTTTTGGCCTTGTGGAATAGGGTGCCCTGGCTCTATCTCTTACAATCATACCGGGAGGCCAGGAGATCGAGGATCACTGCAGCAAGACATACAGAGCGCAATATATCAATGAGCTGAGAATATATTATAAATTTATTTTGCAAAGCTTTATCCTAGTTATACTATCTTTGGCTTTCTTTATTTTATGTCAAGGCTCTAATTAGGGATCATCTTTTAGCTTTCATTGATCACTTACCTTTAGCTATCTAGAATTATCTAAGTTTAGAAAACTATCCTTTATAAAAACTGCTTAATAGCTAAAAAAATCTATTTTTCAAATTAATTAATTACTAGATAGAATCCCCTAATTAATATATCTTCTATTTTAATTGAAATATAAAATTCAAATTAAATCCTTTATAACTAATATCTATAAATTATAAA